CCCCAAAACCCCAAAACCCCAAAACCCCAAAACCCCGAGAAAGGAGTCTGGAATTGAAAGCAGTGGTTTAAAAGAGTATGAACTTTTCATTTTGAGTAATTATAGAAAAAGTTTGATATCTTCGAACCCATTTTCATTTAGTGTGCTTTTGATGTCTCCTATTTCTAATGTTTGAGATTTAACTATCATTCACTTTAGGCTTTGTTTAAGATCATTAGAGGTGCTTAATCCTTTAATAAAATTCTTAAACTCTCGAGAGTTTTGTTCCAAATTGCTTTTATGACCATAGCTGCATTTCATCATTCAAAAATTTTCAAGTCTAGTTTTAGCTAATGCTAATGAAAAGTCAGGGACTTTAGTAACAGAAATCTCGCACTCTACAAAATAGACCACTCTAACATGTCTCACAGCAGACATAATTCTTTTGAATTCTCTGTCACTAATAGTAAAGCTCCTGAATAATATCTCGTGTTGAACTTTAGGAGCAATTCTTATAAATTCTGTAAAATATCTTCTAATTGGTTCAAAACAAGATTGCTGATAAGCGGCCATACGCTTGACTGACCTAGGAAATCAACTTGAGATGAGACTAGCAGTTCTCTTATTTCTTGGGGGAAATTGACGGAAGTTGATCTGGTTAAGATCTGGAATAGCAGTAGATTTCATTTTTCTGGCAAATTTATATACGCGGAGTTTATCTAGACTTATTAAAAAAGTTTTTTTGATATTTAAAAAGTTTGAGTAATGGTAAATATCTCTTCAAACTAATTCGAATATTTCTTCCTCAAATCTTCTTTCTTCTCCAAACATCTGTTTTTCAACTATATTTATTAAGTTAGGAAAATTACTCTTAATAATTTGAATTTCTTAATAAATTATCACAATTAGAATAAAATAATCTTCCTTCTTTGTCAGTATAAATAAAATTTCCCCCAAAATTATTGAATATTCAAATTCTCAAAAAATCCTAACACATCTCTTAAGACCCCCCCTAAAGAACTCTATTCGCCTCAAAAATCACAACATCCCCTAAACTCTCCTAAACTATACCTCTTCTTTCACTCCCAAAATCCCCAAAATCCCCTCCAACCTCTACTCTACCCCCCCTCCAAATCCTCCCTCAGTCTTCCTCCTCTCCCTCCCCTCACCTTCACACTGTGCTTCATCCATTCTCTCCATCTTCTTCCAAGTTCAATTAAATTATGCTGCCTTCAGTCAAGTTATAATTAACTGGGGTTTTGGGGTTTTGGGGTTTTGGGG